TAATTGATAATTTACATAACATTTAAGGCCCAAAGAAAGACCTGCAATAAGCAGATTTAGCTCTTACATAATGCCTGTTTAACATTTAAAAACGCATCTTTAATTAACAATACTTTTATGATAAATTAATAAATGTATTATTAAATAAAGCGATCAGACAATGTTAATGTTACATAATTATAATAAATCATAATTATATAATTTATAGGCACCTTATTAGATTGAAATACCAACTCTTTCTTCCTCAACTGATAAGATTAAATTATTTAAATCACAAAATGCAACAGCCTAATATTATTGTTAAGATTAACTTATTTAATTGAAACAAAATTTGTAGGTTATATTTTTAATGATTAATTTAATTACATGGAACAGTAAACCCATATCCTTACATATCGACCGGCAGCTATTTTTAAATATTAATTTTTCTCCAGAACCGTGTTATGTCCTGAAAAGCCATACATCTTAGCATTGTAACAAAACCAACCTTATCAATATCGGAGCAAAATTGACTGAATTCTGTAACACCAACTGACAGATCCCTTTTTCGCGAAAATTGGTCATTTGGCTTCAATTCTCAATCTATTTAACCATCAACATAACCACACAAACACATTACACATAGCTTGAATGGTTTATTTTCTGATGTTTGAAATACATAAAATTAAATAATTCTGCTTAATTCAACTATACAAAATTAAAATCAATAATGATATAATACAATCAAACAATTTAAACCAAATCCCTTGTTGAGTATTAAAATAAAACAAATAAAATAATGAAAATAATAATATCCCCCCCCCCCCCCCAAAAAAAAAATGAAATAAAAAAAAATAAAAATATAAATAAATAGATACATAAAATAAAATACTTTATCAATATATTAGTGTCTAGTGTCTCAATATTTATAACCCCCCCCCCCCCACCCACACACACACACACACACACAATATGAAAAGAAGTAAATAACATAAATAAAACATACAAATATTTATCAGTATCACAATAAATCAACATGAAATATATTTGCTTCACAAGCTGGCACTCCCCTAGGCCCCTAGGTGGCAAACAAAAGACAGGTAGGCTACCAGGCAGTACAGTTCTGCTGAAAATACAAAAGATTTTTAAAAAATTGTGTAATTAAAAGCTTAAATATAGCCAGCACAGCAATGTTATTATTCATACCAAACTGTATTTTATGTATTTACGATTTATTAATGATCTGCAAGTATTATTTTACAAATTAAGGAATTGAAAACTCTATTTTGCAGATTTTTAAAAGTAGGTCAAAGCCTTAACTGGGCAACACACGTGTCGAGATTTTCATGAAATGTAATACTTATTTATAATACAATATAATATCAAAATTATAAGATATTCATTTTTATTCTTACCTCGAACATTCCTTCTATTTCTCGTTTCCATTTAACCAGATGATGCCACATTTAAACTACAAGAAAGCACTAAATAAAAATATCGCTACTGGGCCTATAGTAAACAAACAGCAAGAACAGAAGACAGGAAGTGATCAACCACCTTTCTCGCCGTTTCACGCGTTTCGCAACATAACGTCGAGAATTCATGAGTCGGCAATCATACGGTATTATCTATGCCTACACTGTATGATAATGGTGTAGCCTAACGTCGGACTGCAATGAGCGAGTCACGTGATGGTGCCCTTTTTGCACTTAAAAAGAAATGAAGGGGCGTAACTGAGTTTGTTTACTCATTAATATAAAGATCCAAGGCCTGTTTCAGTGAAAATATTTGATTCATACTTCGGCGTGACAGAAACATCATTAATTTTTTGTGTGTAAAATCAGGAGACCTTTTTATTTGAAGTTGAAAAGAACCACTCCAAATCAAAATTGAATCAAAAACTCCATCTTGAGGCCGCGGCCGAAACCGGTTTATCACAGAAAACGGTTTTCGTAAGTCGGCAAATATAGGTCTACATGATTAAGATCTACTTTAATTTTATTTATAAATTATATTAGATTATTCAAAATTTTGGATAAAACTATATGAATCAGTTTCACAAAAGATTTGAAAAGTCACATAATTGAAGATCTATATGCTTATAACCAGTCGATTCAAACATGTTAGCTTTAGCTCAAATATATATTTGATTAATAATCCTGTTGAAATGAAAATTCTGTAAATGGACAAATTAAAATGTATAAGCTTACAGGCTTAGATCTTATTTTCTCCATGGAGCAATCTAGATGCCTTATTCTTTTGTTTATTATTTAAGCTTATCATTTCAGGATTGGATTGGCAACCAAAATTGACATAATGAAAAACATACCCCCGCAAAAAAATGTATAGAAAGGGTGTATCGGCCTTTAACCTTTTTGCTAAAGATATAAAGGTATTATAAGATTCTTTAAAATCCCATATAAAACTAAACTTTTTTGTGATACTTACTCACTCCAAAACGACAGGATAAAGATTATTGCTTTACTGCTTCACCCAGTTTATTAATATGACTAATTTTAATTATCATTTTTGGAAAAGCTTAGTTCAAAGACGCCCCCTCCCCCTTTTATTCTATTAGTAATGTAAAGAGCAAGAGGACCGCACCACACACACAAGATAATACAAGTAATAATATCAAATTATGTGAATGGACATCAACATTTTTTAGTTCTGAGAACTTCTAATAATTATTTCCAAATTGAAATATATTAATCTACTACTAGAAATTGTTATTACAGGTAATTAGTTATGCGGCGCAGAGAAGGTTTGAATTATAAGTGTGGACCCGGGATGTGGGGGGGATGGTCATTGGAGTAGCGTTCGTGACAAGTATTTAATCGTCGGAGTCTCAAGCAGCCAGGGGATCACGTGGCTAAGTGGTAAGACGCTGGTTCGCTAGCCTGGAGGTCGGGTGTTCGATCCCTGCATTGGCCGAGAAAGTTCATCCCGATTTTCTGGCGTGGTTTCCCCTTGTCAGTGATGCAGGACGGAGGGCCTGACAAAGACAGCTGTCGAGTCGTTCGGGTGGGACGAAAAACCGAGGTCCCGTGTACACATTGGAGTGCACGTAAAAGATCCGTTGGCAGTTGGAATTCGATATAAGAGTAGGCCGTAGCGCCGCTGCCCGGGCAAAATTTCGCTCTTAGCACACTTATTGGGGTATGTCCTTCTTCATTAGCCCAGTTTAGGAGCAAAACAGTAGGACGTTAAACCCCATTTCATTTCTCAAGCAGCCAAAGGCAAACTGCAGAGGTACCATACTCCTTTTTGCGTTAACGAACTAAACTCATGTTTTTTTTATTTTATTTATTTATATGTATATATTTTTGAGTGACAGAAAGAATGCCCGAATTTCAATCAATTACTTTCTATAATATTCCATATTTTAACAGAAACACTACAGGCTATGTCTTCTTGGGACCTAGCCTGGAATCAATTGAATGAAGAAGAAAAAAGAAGCTACCAAAAAAAAAAGCCAAATCGATTTGCCCTGTCAGCAGCAAAGAAGCTTTGATCGGACAAATTGCTCCTCTTGTAAGTTGTTGTCCTTTTGTATCCTTTTGTATTTGAAACAATAATGATGGTCTGAATGACACCTAGATATTCTATTGCGTTTTGAAAAACGGTTCTTCATAATGTATTTTATTTTTTCATAATATTTCATTTTAGATGACAGAATTATCAAATAAATATGGAGTTGATTTGGATTGTGTGGGTCATGACCTCAACAGCCAAATACAATATCTATTTGGCGAAGGTAACCCGTTAACCTTCACAAAGAATTCCAAAGCATATCTTTCAAACCTATATGCCGACTGCTGCGCTGGAGGTATATTTTATTTTTATAAAGATAAACTTGTTACACACACTGTCTTCTTAAGTTAATAGTGTCAAAGTTTATTTGCCAATCAGGGTTTTCACAAAAATAAGTAGGTCCTTCGTTTTTGGGTGGATAGCTGTGGCGGTTCAGTGAGTGAGTCGATGAATCGCTTACTTGGAGGTTCGCTTTTGAATCCTGTCTTAGTCGTGCATTGCGGTGAGCCTGGCAAGGAACAGCATCTACGAGGTCCTGTGTACACATTGGTATGTATGGTACATTAAAGAACCCTTGACAGAAATCGAAATAAGAGTAGGCAGTAGCACCATAGTCCGAACAAAATTTCCTTACTTACAGCCTCTTAATTCGCCCGGATGAAGTAGAAAAGTAGGACGGCAAACACAGTTTCATTTCAGTTTCGTGTTTTAGTGGTTTTGGATATGTAAATATTTTTTTTATTAATTATTGTTTTTTCGTTTTTAGTAGATGGAGTCAACGTGACAAATAAATCTCTGAGTAAACATCGACAAAGTGCACAAGAACATATTAATATGTTGTATAGTAAGTAAATTTTGTTATACTCACTATCTTGAAAGCTTGGTCTATGTATTGACGAGTTACATAAAACCTAGAGTTACCTTACTCTTTGCGGTGTTTCTTTCCGTAAATACATAATTAGCCAATCCAATCTAGCCCGCAGTTTTTCCTATTGTCTCTTTGAACAGACCCAGACCCATTTTATCGCGGTCATCAGTCTATGTATAAAAATGGATTTATTTACGCCCACAATATTCATGTGGACGTATATTGTCGTCTCCCATGTCTGTTTGTGCGTCCTTTCACCATTTTTATCCGATTTTGACAAAACTTGAAATATAGGGTTGTATCCCCCAAACTCTGGCTCCTTCAGATATTGGCTGGTATCGGACCGTAATTTAATGGATTATGGCCCCTGGTTGTCGGAAAAATCATGGTTTTAGCTTGTGGACACTCCAAGAGGTCACAATTTTAATCCGATGTAGATAACTTCAAATGTATGTTTATCACCCAAAGATCGTTGTGTAAGATTGTGAAACCACCAGAGATCACAATTTTTATTCGACTAAATGAGGTAAATATGTATGCACTGGGACTTAAAAATGATTTTGTTCTATTTCTTAGGTTTATCAATCGGAACAAAAGCGGCTTCCAGTATAAATCATACAGGGAAGGGAGAGCGGCCATTGGTGGACTACCGAAAGACTTAGCACCGTTAAAACCGCCATCCCAGTATGGTTTAAAAAACTAAAAACTATTTTATCTCTTAATGCCTTGAATGTAAGGTATGTATGTTTTCTAAATTCCTCATAATTTGTATGGTTAGCGCGTATCATAAGGTATGTCATTAAGTCAACTGCCGTGGATTCTATTCCCGGTTGTACGTGACAAGAAGTATGGTCGACTGTACAACCTCGTTGGTTTTCTCCGGTTCCTCCGGTTTAATCCCACATATTAAGATCTCTGCGCAAGCGAATTATTGAAATAAGATTGAACCACCTGCTAGTCCCGATATCACCTAGTGTGTGTCAAGTTGACGTTACCCCCCCCCCCCCCCACCTCTCTCTCTCTCTCTCTCAAAACTAGAAAGTTGCCATTTGAAACTGTGTCGAAAAGGGCAATTTATTTCTATTTGACTACATAGAAAAAACGGTTGATCTTCTGTTTACGGATTTATCTAGCGTCTCGCGTGTTGTAGATATAATGCATAAGTAACATTTAAGATTCATTGTTTACACTTTTATGTTTTGTAAGTTGAATATGGAGTGGTTTGAAAATATACCCCGAGCTAAGGAAATATACATTGTCTGATCTTCTTCTGGCAGCTCAAACAATTATTTATCATTTCCTTTACTTTTGTTTTGTAGAATTACAAATGATGACCTACAAACCGCTACCGTCACAGGTACAGTATTGTTAATACACTTCCATCACCTACATGTACTTCAGCCACTAATAATCAATGTCCTTGATAACATGACATACGTAGCAGACACTGCAATAATCTACAAACGTTTATAAAATTATACATATGTACGCTGTATCGACGACTGTAATAGAAGACATGGTCTGGGTATTGATATATAAAGAAATATTTATTGGTCAGTAGCGCACAAATCGTCTATATTAGAGTGCTAGAGTCTATTCGCTAGACTGTATTTTCATGTTAAAACCTACGCTTTAGATCATAAGGTCTGTCACTGAATCATGCGTTGTTATTTTGATTCCGGCCTTGAGGACGACAAAAAGTGGGGTCAGGTATATTGTCGTCGCCTCTGTCCGTCCGTCCGTCCAGAATTGTTTGTGAACACTCTACATGTCACAATTTTCATCCGATTTCAACGAAATTTGAAATATACGTTGATCACCCAAAGATCTCGGTTCCTTTTGATATTGGCGTGTATCGGACCGTAACTTCATGGATTAGGGCCCCTGATTGTACGAAAAAGCACGTTTTTAGCTTGTGAACTTTTTAGAGGTCACAATAATTATCCAATTTTGTTTAAACTTGAAATTTATGTTTATAACCCACAGATCTCGACCCCTGATTGTACGAAAAATCGCGTTTTTAGCTTGTGGACCATATAGAGGTCACAATTTTTATCTGATTTAAAAAAAAAACGTTTGACTATATCACCGTTACACCTTAATGTTGGTTGAGTTCGAATTTCGTGAAAATCGGACCAAAAATGGGCGTCCCTTGTGCGCAAAAAGTATAAAAATATTGTATATATCAAGGTTGCGGATCCTTTAGAGGCCACAATTTTGAACCGATTTTGATGAAACTTTACATTTATCACTATATCATAAAGATCTTGGTTCCTTTTAATATTCGTAACTTCCTTAAAATATGTTTGTATCTCAAAGATCTTGGTTTGTGTAGATATTCACGGTTATCGGACCGTAAATTCTTGGATTATTGCCCCTGATTGTAAGAAAAATTGCTTCTTTTTTTTTTAGCTTGTCTAATTGACCAATCAAAACGCAAGATTTACCCTTAAGCATGTCACAATAATGATTGGCTTTATGATTTTAGGTGTAGAAAACATCCTTGTAGACGAAACCTTAGATATAAACAGCACAGTTACAAACAAAGGTAAAATATTCTTATACGGTCCCTTCCTTACTTATGTTAACCGGGAGTGCTGTCGGAATGACATTCATATGGGCTGTTCATATGGCCAAGATTTGTTGGTCAGTAGTGCACATATGGCATACAATCTGTACAGGGGAAAGTCGCTCTTTTCAACTGAAGCATTGAATATCTGGAGTAAGGGATGGGTTTTATAGGGGAATGTCTCTCTTTTCAACAGAAGCATTGAATATCCTTATATTCTTATACGATCTCTTCCTTACTTTTGTTAACCGGGGGGGGGGGGGAGGCGGATATCGGAATGGAATTCATATGGGGGTGGGGGCTGTTCATATGGCCAATATTAATTGGTCAGTAGTGTACATATAGCCCCTTCGTTACCTAATCTTAAAGTTTCTCTCATAAAAGTATATGAAAGAGAAGAAGTGATGTCAAGTAATTGTTTATATTTCCGAATACCTTTTGAATTTAATAGAGGCTACAGTTTTCAAAAATATTTTGTTCATAATTGATGAAATCCAAATGAAACGGTTATCCCTATTGAATTTCCCTGTTCTCCGTGTATCTTATATGCATACCAAATATTGCTAGATGTGGAAGACAGTGTTTTAAGGGTTTTTTGTGGGGGTGGGGGTGGTAAGACATTGAGGCATGTCAATGTTTTTTGAGGTTATAGTGTTTCCCCCATGCTTATTAGAACTACCTCACAAATTCTGTTATTAAAGTGGACTGTACAAAACAAAATGATTGAAATATATTGAATCTTAAAATTATATTTTGCAGAATATGAAGTAGAGAAAATAATGAAAAGGAGGAGGAGGGGGGGAACTTATGAGTTCTTGCTGAGGTGGAAGGGTTTTCCTCCATCTGCTGATTCTTGGGAAAAGGAAGAAAACCTCAAACCCTATCTTTTAAATATGTCTAGATATTAAAAATTATTAAAAGAAATGAAGTGTTTGTATTTTGTAACATTGAACCTCAAAATAGCAAAATGTGTGAATGTTGAACATTTTCCATTATAAGTGGATGGGGTGAAATCAGAGCAATAGTAAAGGTAACCTATCAGAGCGGTTCGAGTAAAATAAATCACAATGTTCTGGGTAAAACCTCTATGAAGAAGGGTAAGTAGGCAAAAAAAGTCGGCGTGAACACAGCAGTATATTTTCTAAAAATCAGATCAATTTGGATAAGAAACCTGTTACAGTGTTAGATGTACACATCAAATATCTGAATGAAGAGATGGGTTTTGGCAGCAAAACATACCGCTCTCTTAGATGCACACATTAAATATCTAAAGAAAAGGATGGGTTTTGTCTATAAAAGTGTCTCTGTTAGGGCTTAAATTTTGCCCGGACAGCGACACTACGATCTATTCTTAATTTGTATGCCAACTGTGAAGGGTTCGTTTTTGTCCCATCCTAACGATTATACGTTGCCCCTTACTATGCCTTATGTCCTGCACCACTGACAGAGAGGAGCAACGCCTCAAAATCCCGCTCTTAGTTTCGCTCTGTTAGATTTTTTGTGGCAAATCGCTCTTTTCAACAGGTGTATTAAATATCTGGAGCAAGGGATGAGTTTCACAGGGGAAGGTCGCTCTTGCTAGCAGAAGCATTATATATCCGGAGTAAAGGATTAGTTTTATAGGGGAAGGTCACTCTTTTCAACAGAAGCATTAAATATCCCGAGTAAGGGATGGATTTTATAGGGAAAGATCGCTCTTTTCAACAGAAGCATTAAATATCCGGAGTAAGGGATGGCTTTATAGAGGGAAGTCGCTTTTGTCAGCAGAAGCATTAAATATCCTGAGTAAGGAATGGGTTTCATAAGGGGAAAGTCGCTCTTTTCAACAGAAGCATTAAATATCCTGAGTAAGAGATGGGTTTTATAGAAGAAAGTCGCTCTTTTCAGCAGGCGCATTAAATATCTGAAATAAGGCATGAGTTTTATTGGGAAAGGTCGCTCTTGTCAATAAAAGCATTCAATACTCAGAGTAAGGGATGGGTTTTATAGGAGAAAGTCGCTCTTGTCAGCAGAAGCATTCAATATCTGTCGTAAGGGATGGGTTTTATAGGGGAAAGTCGCTCTCAGCAGAAGCATTCAATATCTACAGTAGGTTGCTCTTTTCAACAGAAGCATTAAATATCTGGAGTAAGGGATATGGATGGGTTTCATATGGATGGATGTATTAAATATCTGGATTAAGGTATGTATTTCATGGGGAAAGTCGCTCTTTTAAATAGGAGCATCAAACACAGGGAAGCAGCCGTGGGTTTTATAGGGGAAGTTACCACTTGTCAGCAAGGAATGGGAAAGTCGCTCTTTTCAACAGAAGTATTGAATATCCGGAATAAGGGATGGATTTTATAGGGGAAGGTCTCTCTTTTCAACAGAAACATTCAATATCTGGAGTAAGGGATGGGTTTTATAGGGAGAAAGTCGCTCTTGTAAGCAGAAGAATTCAATATCTGTCGTAAGGGATCTGTTGTATAGGGGAAAGTCGCTCTTGTCAGCAGAAGCATTAAATATCTGGAGTAAGCGATGGGTTTTATAGGGGAAAGTCGCCCTTGTAAGCAGAAGCGTCTACAGAAGGTTGCTCATTTCAACAGAAGCATTGAATATCTGGAGTAAGGGATATGGATGAGTTTCATATGGATGGGGAAAGTCGCTCTTTTCAATAGGAGCATAAAATATCGGGAAAGAGGCGTTGGTTTTATAGGGGAAGGTACCTCTTGTCAACAAGGGGTGGGTTTTACAGGGGAAAGTCGCTCTATGTTTTATAGGGGAAAGTTGCTCTTTTCAACAGAAGCATTGAATATCCGGAGTAAGGGATGGATTTTATAGGTGGAAAGTCGCTACTGTTAGCAGAAGCATTCAATATCTTAAGTAAGGGATGTCCACGGACCCCGACCGTCAACTCTCCAAATTTTATTGACCCACTGCCCATAGGGGCTGAATTATGGGCCTTTTCCAGGGGGTACCAAACTGAAAAAAGTTATTTAAGATATACAAGTGAAAACGTCTAGTAGGGTTCGGATCCGGTACTTACCTACCCTAAATTCGAGTTTTGCCGGAGACTTTTACTGAAATTAGGACTCCCAGGTCGATCGTGTCCATTTTCGGTGGGCACCTGCCCACGGACCACTACCGGGAACTCTCAAAATTTTATTGACATACTACCTATAGGGGCTGAGTTATGGGCTTTTTCCAGGGGGACCCTTGTTCAGAGCGAAAATGGGCCCATGAATCGGTGACCTTGAACCTTTCAGATGGCCTTGACCTACCGATGTCATGTCCAGAGGTCAAAGTCCGGTGGGCGTGACCTCATCCGGGGCTCGCTAGCGGCAAAAATCAAAAATAATTCCGAAGCCCACAGCGGGTCAAGATGAGGACTTTTGGTTGACGATTTTAAAAAATTAAGAACAAATGTTATGTCGATCTATCAGGTCCCCGAGATCCGACCAGACCGGACGACCTTGGTCCACGCCCCCAGTCTGGGCCCGGAGGGACCCACACGGTCAGCCCGGATCTGTACCCACGACCCAGAGCTTGCGGCCTCCTGAACTAAAACGACCCCGGGGACGTGACCTAAATTTGACCTTTGATGGTTAGGGTCAAGGTGAATCGCGATATTTTTATCGATTTCGCCCTCTTCCAGTCACCGGAATTCTTCCCGGGGTCGATATAGTCCAAGAATACCCAGCCTTGGGCCCGGCCCGTCCATGGGCCCTTCTGGGCGTTTGAGAAAATCCGATCTAATCGAAAGTTAGTCGTGCACGGTGGTATACCTTTTGAACGAGTTCCTAAAACGTAGCAATCGTTAAAGATCAACCTGAGACCTCTCAACCCGTTCTCTTGATATAGACGGAAAATTAAAATTCTCAACTGAACTTCTGAAGCGATAAGCCGAATGGAACCTCTCGCGACCTTTGACCGATTGACGTCACCAGTGTGCAATTTACAGACGTAAACAAGGGAATCCCGAAGACAATGGCGGACGCTGTTGACGGGACCGATATTAATGACGCCAAAAGATCGGACAAGAGGTGTATTGCTTATGGCTGTGATAATAAAAACCTAATAACGTTTCACTCCATTACTTTCCGTTTGAAAAAACCCAGTTATTTTAAAACGATAGGCTAGTTTTGTGGTGACAAATCCAGACATATAGACAGGATCGCCGACACGCCCATCCCAAACTAAGGCTGCCTATCTACAGCAATGACCTATATACTAACTAGACCGCGCGCTCCCACTGAATGATGCAAGACGCCATGGCCAATCAGTGTTGACTTCCGGCAGTGGGTGAAAGTAAGTAGGTCAACTGGTTTCAAATGTCAACACATGGGAACGCTCTCGATAACAAGACCTAATTAGACTTGGTTTAAATTCGCAATAGGAAATTTTAATCAAGAATGAATATGTACGGTTCTTGGATCTTCAGTTTATTTAACAAATGATACAACTGTAGATGGCTAAATATGGATTCATAATGAAGTAATGAAAGACCGAAATGGACAACCTTTCACGTCTGAAGACTGAAGTAAAATCTTGAAAATGTAAAAAAAAAATACCATTATTAATAATCATAATAATAATAATAATTTTATTTATTCAGTATGCATATCATACGATGTATAAATACAGATAACACTTGAACATATATGCAGAATGATTGTTCAAGCAATTATAAAGAATTTAATGAATAATAAAAAAGGTGGATAATTTTAACATAAGCCTAATAATAAATTAATTTTGGGATATAAATTTGAAAGTGATTTTTCAAGCAATTAAAAATAATTTAGTGTATAATATATGGACGGATGGTTTTAACATAATCACTTTTGGATATAAAAATAAGAGTGAATTTTCGCCTAATTAAAAAGAATTTAGTGTTTATAAGGACGAATAATTTTAACATAATAAATTATTTAATTTATGGATATTCTAAGGGATTATAGAGAAATTAGTTCATAATAAATGAAAGGGTAATTTTTACATAATAAATTATTTAATTTTTGGACAACATAAATATGAGTTATTTTTCAAGTAATTATAATGAATTAAGTGCATTATATATGGACAGATAATTTTTGTATCACCCGAAATGTTATGAAACAGGGATTTTTATATATCTATATTATACAAAATACATAAAAAAGTAGAACGATGAAGCGAAATGAAATAAAATGGGGTTTAACGTCCTACTGTTCTGCTCCTAAACTGGGCTAATGAAGACGGACATACGGCATACGCCATACAGTGTGCCATGAGGGAAAGTTTGCCCGGGCAGCGGCGCCATGGCCTACTCTTATATCGAATTCCAACTGCCAAGGGATCTTTAACGTGCATGCCAATGTGTACACGGGCCCTCGGTTTTTCGTCCCATCCAAACGACTAGACAGCTGTCCGTGTCAGGCCCTCCGTCCTGCATCACTGGCAAGGGAAACGACGTCGGAAAATCAAGATGAACTTTTTCGGCCAATGCAGGGATCGAACACCCGACCCCCAGGCTAGCGAGCCAGCGTCTTACCCACCGTTACAATTTAATTGTCTGATATACATAGCTTTATTTATATAACAGTATAAATATAAATCTAAACTATTATATAGATGATGGAATTTTGCTTCAATAGGTGCATGGGTTACATTGAGGTATATAAAATAATTGCAAATGTTTGAAATAATTACAGAGATAATATTTATGAGATAATAAAGACCTTAATTTATTTGTACTTGTACATTTGCAGAGAAATAGAAGATTTTCCATAAGTGACGTTTCAAGGTTTTTTGTCCATACATGTGCCATAAAATGTTTGCCATACGCCATACAGTGTGCTCTAAGGGAAATTTTGCCCGGACAGCAATTGAATTCCAACTGGCAAGGGTTCTTTACGT